GGACTGTAGGAATGACCCAGACAGTAAAGCCAAAGAACACCACATGTAGGAGCATTTCTGGAACCTACTCTTTTACTTACTAACGTGTTTAAACCATGCTGCTTCAAATGCACTCAGCTTAAACCAATCATCCTGTCCCCTAATAATAAGATTGGGATTCGTTTATACGATGCTCAGTAGTGAAATGCAGTTAGAATAATCCTTCTCCTTCGAACGTACATTTCACTGATGACCAAAGAATATTCTTTGGTGATCTAACAGAAGATGGGTTAGAAGAACGCAGTCCTTCAAGCCCTTTAAACTAGTCCAATATAATCCCCCTCCCCCTCCTCCACCGAATGAAACCCCGCAGTGGGTCCAGAACTGGAGCGTAAGACTGCTGAAGAAGTGCCAACAACGATCGTTTCCAAATGACATTACCGACAAAGACAAGGGTGACTAGGATGGTTATTTCTGGCATATTAGCTGTCGTCGGCCAGTCATACCCAGACCCATGTGGTACCCCACCCGAGCCTCGAACTCGCATAGTAGTAGAAGCGTATAATTTTATTTAGGCAAAACCTATGGGCGCACAAATGAGCTGTCAATTGAACACAAAAGAGCAAACTGCGGCACGGTGCTCATGATCAGAGTTTTTACTCGGAGAGTAACCTTTCGGTTTGACAGGTGTCTCGAGTTTCAGCTTTATTCCGAGTAACACGAGAACCCTGAGGGAAGTTGTATACAGGAGTAAATGAACGACGGTGCTTTTGTTGAATCGATGGGGAGGGCAGCTGTGAATTGCGTGCAAGTTGGATCAGAGTAGTATAAATCTGGCGCCAGGTCTAAATAATGCCCTCTTTCCTCTTAAAGACCCCATATGCAAATGACCAGGCCAACGGAACCGGAGGCAGCCAGCGTGCAGTGTGCACGCCAGAGAAACGTCCTAGTCTACGCGTACCACACGCGTCCAGGCGCTGCCACCAAAATTAGCCAATGCACAAAAAGCGTAGTTATGAGAAGTTCTATTTTGACTTCTATTGAAGCGGGAGAAGACACAAAAGCGGCCGAGGAACGTATTAGCAGGTGGCCTGTCCTACAGCAGCTTAAACGTGAGAACGAGACGCCTAAGGCAAACCTTGATCCCTGCTTTCTGCGTTTTTATGTACTCACAAAAAGTCTGGATCGAATAGGCTAAACATGAGAATCGGCATGCGGCAGTATATCTCAAGTTACAGATTTAAATTATCTTTTAGATCAGACGGTTTAGTGCAATCCGATATGGGCACACGAAGCTTCGTCAGTAGGCATGTTGAAGTAGTGAAAACTTACTAGAATTTGATCGAAGAGCCAGTGCTTCCTCGGCCATAGCCACCTTCTTCAGCAATGCGCGTTCATTCTAGAAGAGGGCTGATGCGGAAAGGAAACCAGAAACTCACTCGCCGGCAGGAAAAAACGGTCAGAGAAATTGAAGACATCGAAAAAAGGAGTATGATTGATGCGAAAACGTAGTACTCTGAAGACATCCATAGGGCAACACTGAATGCTTGGAAAAGGTAGAAGGGTGTTAAGATCTAAAAGTATGCAAAACAGAAGCAAACCGCCTACCTCTGTAAATATTTTTGTGCAAATAGGAGTAAGAGGTATTTTCAAACTATTAGGTCCATAGTAGGCTAAGAGGTAGTCAATCTGACCCTCATCCACCGGCTTAGCCTGTACCATATGCGCGCAAGTTAGATGCTCTAAGCCCCTGAATAAAGGAATATTCAAACTGA